CTTCTCCCTCTGACCCTCCTCCCTCTCATGCTCTCTGTCTCTCATTCTCTCTCTCTCAAATAAATAAAATCTTTAAAAAAAAAAAAAAAGATTAAATCAATGTCAAACCCACAATGAGCTGTCCCTTCACACCCACGAGAACGGCCACGATCAAAAAGACCGATACTAACACGTGTCGATGAAGATGTGGAGAAATTGGAACACTCTGCCTGGGTGTTTGAAGGGAAAGAAGGAGTGAAACCTTCTAGCCTGTACAGGGTTTCTTTTTTCGGGTGATGGTTGCACAACTCTGTGAATATACTGAAAACCATTACTTTACCCACCTTAGGTGAATGGTTTGGTATATGATATGTGATGTATATATGCGAGAGACCTTTCCCTTCTGTTAAATCCTCTTGCCTTGCAATAATGTGGAGATCTGCATCATCTAAGAATTTACAGAAAAGAAGGATCAACTTACTTGGTAACAAGTGGCTTAAATTTGAGTTGTTAACACTCTTCTCCATTTAGATTTCGTTCAGGTTCCCAGACCGTTGCTTTTCCAAATCGAGTGGCCGTCAACTGGAGCTTTAGGCAAACGATGAGCACACAGGGGCTGTTCACCTCTTTGGTCTCTGCTCTTAGAACTGGTGCCCGGAGCTGCCGTGGAGTGTGGCAGGGTGCTGGCCCACCTCACCCACCACCCCATCTGCATCCTGAAAGGAGGCTATGAACGCTTCTCAGCCATGTACCACTTCCTCCGGACACAGAAGATCATCTGGATGCCACAGGTGAGGCAGGGTACTGAGCCCAGGCAGGCTCGGATGGAAGCATGGTCTCCCCCTGGTTGACCAAGGGATGGGGAGCAGGATAGGGGAAAGAGGAGTTGGGCGACATGGGAATGATGGAAGGGATGGAGACTGTGCTTGGGAAATGGACCTGGGGCAGCCAGGAGGTCCAGGCCACGAGGGTGAATTTCTCATCGCTGGATTCAGGCCAGAGTCAGCACGGTGGTGAAGAGGTGGGGCCCGTCCAGAGGGCAGGGGTTCCAGGGGGTGCTCTGGATGTCAGGCTGTCATCAAAGACAGGCAGGGGTGCCACAATTTGAGGCTGCCTGTCCATTCTCAGCTGTCTGGACCCACAAGCCCAGAGGACACAAAAAGGACAAGCTAGCATCCTGCCTATGAGGAGTTCTTGGCTAGCGGGAGAGACAAGGGGCACCGCAGGTGAGGTGAGGCCCCTCCTGGAGCCAGACCAGAAGGAGGAGGAGGAACTTGCTAGGAAGAGAGGTGGGTGGAGGGTGGCTGAGGCAGGCACGGGGTGGCCATGACCGACAGGCAGGGTCTGGTCCCTGGAGGGCATCATACAGCAGGGGGCTTATTGAAGAGTCTGAATGCAGTGGGATGTAGACATGTGGGGGCTTCATTCTTTCTAGTAATTACCTTTGGCTCTTTGCCCTTAGCAGCATCTTGGGCACATTCCAGAAATTCTGACGACTTTTAAGCTAATCATAAAATGAGAGGGGAAATGTGTATATCAACTGGATCTTTCAGAGATACAGAATGAAATATTTATGGGGTAAAACAATATGATGTCTGGCTTTTCAGAATAATCTGGGGTGTGTTGGGAAGTGGGTGAGGATAGAGCTAAAATAAACTGGCCATTAGTTGATGATATTTGCAAATGGGTGATTGACCCAGGGGTTTATTATACTATTCTCTCTACTTTTGCATATTTTTTTTTTAAAGATTTTTATTTATTTATTTGAGACAGAGAGAATGAGAGAGAGAGAGCACATGAGAGAGGGGAGGGTCAGAGGCAGAAGCAGGCTCCCCGCCGAGCAGGGAGCCCGATGCGGGACCCGATCCAGGGACTCCAGGATCATGACCTGAGCCGAAGGCAGTCGCTTAACCGACTGAGCCACCCAGGCGCCCTTGCATATTTTTAAAATAATTTCTTAAAAGAGAAGAAAAGTGATCAGGCCAGTACAAGCGAGGCTAGTTTAACCTTCCAATCTCAGATCTGGATTAAATCTCATCTCTTCCCATCCCCCAGAGCTGGGCAGTCTTCAGTTTGCTGGGGTGGGAGTGGCCAGGGGTGTGGGTTAGCTGCAGGGACCTCTCCTCTCTTCCTTGCTCCTGGGCCTGTGACTTCAGTGCTGGGGGTCCAGGGTGGGGCCTGTCTTGTGGGACTGGCTGCCCGTCAGCGGTGGGGCCAGGCCTTCTCACTCTGTTCCAGCCCGGTTCTGTATGTTGCTGGTGGCCTTAGCTGCTGGTTTCCTTGGGGCCCGGTTTACGGGCCCCATCTGCTACTAAGAATCTTTCAAAGAAAACCATCCAAGACTTCCTGCCAGGAGCACCCCCAATTCCTTGTTTTACTTTGGCAGTCCATGACCCCCTGACCACATCTGCCCTCCTTCACACTATGATTTTCAGCTCCACTGGTGTCCCCCCAGTCTCCCTGTCCTGCCAGGCACTGCTCACTCCTAGAGGAGCACCCCTTACTGGCTTTTCCTTGTGCAAAATAAGTATTTCTGCAAACCTCACCCTGCTGATAACTCACCTCCTTCCCTTTGGAAAACAAGCTTTAGTAAGGTTCAGTAGCCTGTAAGTAAGTTCATCAGTAAGTTTGTGCACATATTTAAATGTACATTTTGGTCAGTGTCGACATGTGTATACCCCTGAGACTTGCCCTCGTCCCATCTCAGGTAGACTGGGAAGAGGGGTGCGTGGTGGATGGTGGTGGCAGCTAGCAGGGTTCTGCCCTAGGTGTCTGTGGCCCTCCTTAGAGTGTAGGCACCTAGTATTTGTCGCTCCCTGCTTTGGGACCTTTGTTAGTAGTTCAGGGGCACGAGTGAAAGCCCCACTCCTCTCTGCTATGTGCTTTGAGACACTGGAAAGCAGGGGTGTCCCTGCTGCTCCCCAAGGAACTCCTTCTAGGAGGGCGGGTGGTGGCGCTGAATGTGGCCTTTGGACAGAGCGACTTCTCATTTCCTCTGTTTTACACGTGGCCTCCCTTAAATGAGATTTCACTTGGAGCAAAAGGTTCGGGGACCAAAACGTGAAGCCCACACCAGAGAGAGATGGTGGTGAGCCCCGGGGTGCCTGATGCTGTCAGATGGCACTTGAGAAAGTTCACCAGCGATCGTGGTGTGGAAGGCAGACCCGTGGGGGCTGCCAGGGGGTTCTGGGGGAGGCGGAAGGCCGCTATGGTGAGGAGAGGACAGATTCAGGAAACACTTGGGTAGTGGCACTGATTAGACACGGGGGGGGGGCGGGCGGTGAGGGCGGGACATGCGGGGAGGTAGGAGCCTGGGATTAGTACCCTGGTTCCCTGTGTGGGTGACAGGTGGGGGACACGGGAGGCAGAGGCAGTGTGGGGGAGGGCAGTGGGCTCAGTTTGGACATCCTTATGGATGTGGGTGTCAAAATCATGGCATCTAGAATTAACACGCGCTTGCTCTTACCAGCCCGGTGTTTTTTTCCCTGCCACACAGCCATAGGAAAGGAAGCTGGTTTGAAAGCAGCAGGAAGAGTTGATGGATCTGTGTTGGGTGTTCAGTGAGATTTTCCAGGTGAAACTAGGAGGGTGTCCTTTGGCTCCAGCAAGCTGAGCATCCTGGGTGTGGTCAGCCTGAGCTCTGGGGAAGCTTTGGGTCCTATCGAGCGGGCCTGTCTGCAGGTAGAAGGGTCCTGCGTCCCTTTCGCACACTTGAGCATCGGCTCGGCTTGCTGTCTGCTCTTTGAGAAAGGCTTTTTGAGGCCGACAGCTTGCGAAGGATGTGGGCTTGCAGTGGGCTCACTGGGAGGGGCGATGTGCTAAGGCCAGAAGGCTCTGAAGCCTCTGGACAGCCAAAGTAGCCTGCGGTGCTTATTTCTGAGTCTGACTTGGAGCCAGAGGAATTTTAGAACTAGGTTTGACCTTTGAAATCACATAGGTCAGCATTTCCCGTGGAATACTCACACAAGAAAGGGACCTCCAAACAGATCATATTGGAAACAACAGTTTATACAACGTGAGTGTGGTTTTTGTTTGTTTTCTTGAGGTTATGCTTAGCTTTTGTACTAAATATCACGAGTGATTTTCAACCCATGCCAATAATAAACATGTAGCCAATGTGTTATGATAAACATCTGGGCCACAAAGTCGGCCCGAGGAACCAGTAGGAAGGTTTTTAGCAGTTCCTCGGAGGTACACTTTGAGAATAGTTTTAGCCTGCCATGCTTTACTGGCTGTTTCCTAACTAGTTTGTAAATTATTATTTGATGACAATTTTTTCTAACCACCTGGTTGACACTCATAATCTTTCCTTGGAACAATCAGATTTTGTAAATTTTCCCCTTCAGTTTTATTGAGATATAATTGACATATAACATATATAAGTTTAAGGTATACAATGTGTTGATTTGATACATTTGTATATTGTGAAATGATCCCCAAATAAGGTTAATGAACCTAACCATCACCTCACCTAATTACCATTTTTTTGTGTGTGGTGGTAAGAACATTTAAGATCTACTCTCCCAGCAACTTTCAAGTATATAACACAGTATTAACTGAAGTCCCCGTGAACTTGTGCCTCTTTATGTCTGGAAGTTTGTATCCTTTTGACCAACATCTCCCATTTCCCCCACTCCCCAGCCCCTGGCAACCACTGTTTTACTCTCTGTTTCTATGAATTTGGCCTTTTCAGACTCCACATGTAAGTGAGATCATGCAGTAGTTGTCTTTCTCTGTCTGACTTACGGGCATGCCTTGAAAATATTGTGGATTTGGTTCCAGACCACTACAATAAAGCAAATATTGTAATAAAGCAAGGCAAATGAATTTTTTGCTGTGTATAAAAGTTATGTTTAGACTATACTGTAGTATGTTAAGTGGGCAATAGCATTACGTCTAAAAAAAATAGACATACCCCCCCTTTTTTTTTTAAGATTTTATTTATTTGACAGAGAGCGAGAGAGAGCGAGCACGAGTCAGGTGAAGGGCAGAGGGAGAAGCAGACTCCCTGCCAAGCGGGGAGCCTGACGCAGGGCTTAATCCTAGGACTCCAGGATCATAACCTGAGTTGAAGGCAGACGCTTAACTGACTGAGCCACCCAGGTGCCCCAATAGTGGACATACCTTAATTAAAAATACTTTATTACTAAAAAATATTAACCATCATCTGAACTTTCAGTGGGTCATAATCACTGATCACAGATAATCACTGATCACAGATCCCCATAATACATATAATAATAATGAGAAGGTTGGAAATTTTGTGAGAATGACCGAAATGTGATAGAGACACGAAGGGAGCAAATGCTGTTGAAAAACGGCACTGATTGACTTGCCCGATGCAGCGTCGCCGCAAACATTCAATCTGTAAAAATTGCAGTATCTCTGAAACAAAATAAAATGAAGCACGATAAGGTGAGGTATTCCTGTATTTCACTTAGAGTAATGCCCTCAAGCTCACAAATGGCAGAATGTCCTTCTTTCTCAGGACTGAATAATCTCCCATTCTGTATACATGCCACATTTTCTTTATCTGTTCATCTGTCAATGGACACTTAGGTTGTTTCTGTGTCTTGGCTACTGTGAATAATGCTGTAAGGAACACGGCAGATACTCCCTCAACATTGTGATTTCATTTCCTTTGGATATATACCAAGAAGTGGGATGGCTGGATCGTATGGTAGTTTTACTTGTAAGTTTTTGAAAAAACTCCATACTGTTTTCCATAGTGGCTATAGTTATCAGATTTCTTTACTGCCGTTTACTTCTCCTGCCTTTACTTAGTAATGTACGTTGTGAATTTCTGAGACAGGGATATCCTAGGTACTGCTTCCCATATGTACTTGATTCTCTCAATCCTTTTTTTCACAGTGCATTGCGAGGGACCACTGTTTTCTAGGACACACTTTGGGGGAATGTAGGAATCATCTTGCTCTTTGTGTCTTTGTTTTTCAAAGAAACCCCAATTTTTCATATCATAACTTTGGACCTGGAATTCCAGTGAGCTCCCATTTAAGTGGTGTCCTGTCCTCCCTACCTGTCTACATCAGAACTCATCAGAATTTAGTTCCTAATGACAAATAGGCTCTATGTGAGTAGTTTTAGTGGTTTTTTCTTTTAAGAAGGTGTTAAAATTCTGGTGGCCTCCAAAAATATTATATAATTGTGTTATTAATAAGATAATTATAATATATAATTATATAATAGAAGGGCTGTCCCATCAATGATAATATATAATATAATACAATTATAATATGTAATAATATAAGGCTTCCCACCCTCCCCCTCCCCCTACTGGACACGCTCTGGATTTATGCAGTTCTGCATCAAGGGGTTTCAGATGCCAGTCTTTGTGCACCCAGCAAAGTGCACACAGGTGCCATGGGGGCTAAGTGGGATGTCCACGTTCAGATGCAGCATGCTGTCCCATGGCTCAGTGGCTCCATCCTGTTACTATCAGCCTTCTAACTCCTCATGCAAGTCAGTCTCATTCATTATTCTGGATTATCTTTCTAATGCTGAGCCACATTTCAAGATCCAGAAAACAAAAACAAAAACAAACAAAAAATCCAACAACAAAAACCAAAAACAGCTTCTTCCCTGGGGAAAGAATATCTTGTTCTATGACATATAGCATATGTATTCTATATAGCAGCCTTTCTCCTTCCTTTCCCTCAGGAACTGGATGCCTTTCAGCCCTACCCTGCTGAAATCATGCCAGGCAAGATCTACCTGGGCAATTTCAGGCAAGCCTGCGACCCGAAAATTCAGAAGGATTTGAAAATCAAAGCACATGTCAATGTCTCCATGGAGACAGGGCCATTGTGAGTAGAAATACTATTGATTTTTTTTTTAATTAAGCATTTATATAAGATTCCTAGTGCCGTGCATTTATAGAGCTGAAAGGGCCTTAGAAATCAACACACACTGGAATAGGCTCTGTACTTACCTTCAGCTGTTCCTGGTTTGTAGTCTATTTCCTGGCTTGGCGGTGGCATCCTCTGCCTCTGAGACCCAGTTCTTGCCCTTCGGATCTCACCAAAAGGAATGCTTTCCTAGTATTTAACATTATGGTACAGAGTATTCCATTTTACCCTACTTCTCAGGCCCTCTGAGAAGTGACCCCTGTCTTAGCCCATTGGGGCTGCTATAGCAGAATACTACAGACTAGTGGTTCATAAACAAAATGCATTTATTTCTCATGGGTGTGCAGGCTGGGAAAATCCAAGATCAAGTCACCAGCAGACTCAGTGTCCAGTGAGAGCCTGCTTTCTGGCTCATAGACAGCCCTATTTTTACTGCATCCTCTTATGGCAGAAGATCACCCTCTGGCCCCTCTTTTACAAGGGCATTAATCCCATCTCTTAGGGCTCCACCCTCATGACCCAGTTTACAATCCCACTTTAAACGACCCCCAAATCCCAGACAAAACCTTAAGACAGGGGTTTCCAGACAGTGGCCAATAGGCAGCATAGGACATTGATTCCTGAGAGGAGGGAAAAAAAAAAAAAAAAAGATGAGTCTCTCAGTTGACCCAGCTTATTAGTAGGAGACTGTTTGCAGGTCATAGTACAAGAAGCAGGCCAAGACAGATCCTGTCATTCCTTCTGAGTTGAGTGTATAGAGTTGAGAAGTCAGAGAGGTCAAGTTGGCTAGAATTTGCAGGAGAGAGCTGCATGGAGAATAGAGAGCTGAATATAAAGAAAAAGCTCTTAACATCTGCAGAGTACCCCCTGAGTCTTCAGCTGAGTACTGATAAGCACGTACATGTGAGGAAACAAGTCAAGGCTGGGAGAAAAACCAGTAGAAATGAACACACAGTACAATTCCCAGAGATCATGTAGGGCCAAGAGTAGTTTGCATTTCCAATCAGAGTAGACAAAACTCACAACATACTGGGCCTCAAAGAGGGCACTGAGAAAAGTGTTGCTTCAGTTGTGAGGAAAAACTAGCCCTAGGCTAGGGATGAGAATGTCTGGGGTGAAACATACATTGGATGGATTTAAAGGCAGATTAAACACTGCAGAAGAAAAGATTGGTGAATTTGAAGACATACTAGTAGAAAGTGTCCAACATGGAACCCAGGGAAGAAAAAGATTAAAAAAAAAAAGAAAGAAAGACCAGAACAGAAACATGTATAAATTGGAATCTTCAAAGAAGAGGAAAGTGGAAAGACCGAAAACATATTTAAAGAAGTAACAGCCAAAATTTTTTTCTAAATTTGATAAAAACCATAAAGTTTATCACCAGAAATAATTATGTAGATAAACATAAAACACTTTCGCTGTCACTTTTGTGTCTCTTCAAAACATAATTTATCATATGGGCTGCCTGGGTGGCTCTGTCAGTTAAAGCATCTGACTCCTGATTTTGAGTCAGATCATGATCTCAGGTTCATGAGATTGAGCCCTGTGTTGGACTTGTGCTGCTGGGCCTGGAGCCTGCTTAAGATTCTCTCTCTCCCTCTCCCTCTGCCCCCCACCCTCTAAAACAACAAAAACAAAAAAGACAAAAAACGAAAAAAAATAATTGATCACAGAAAAAATAGTAACAATGTGTTTTGAGATTATAACATATGTAGAAGTAACATGTATGCCCATAGTTTACTAAGGCAGGAAGAGGCAGAATAGAAGTATACACTTGGAAGATTCTTACTGTATTTACATGAAGTGTTATAATGTAATAAAAAGTTAAAGATGTGTTCTGGAAACTCTAAAGCAATTACCAAAAGCTAGAACAAAACAAAAAATAAAACAGTTATAATTAATAAGACAAAAAAAGAAAAAACGGAATCATAAAAAAATCCAAAAGAAGGCAGGAAAAGAGGAACAAAGAGATGAGGCCAATAGAAAACACATAGCAAGGTGGTCATGTCAATAATCATACTAAGTGCAAATGGTCTAAATACCCCCAATTTAAAGGCAGAGGTGTAGTAGGATATCTACAAGAAACATACTTTATTTTTTTTTTTAAGATTTTATTTATTAGAGAGAAGGAGTGAGGGAGAGAGCAGGAGTGGGAACGGGAGTGGGGGAAGGGAGGCAGAAGCAGACTCCCCATTGAGCAGGGAGCCTGATGTGATGCATGGGCTTGATCCTGGGACCCCAAGATCATGACCTGAGCTGGAGGCAGATGCTTAACCGAGTGAGCCACCCAGGTGCCCCAACCAATGGTCTCTCAATCTTGGACAGAGTACCTGTGCATCCCCCCACCCCCCCACCCCCTGACCTGCGCCAGCGCACTGCTCTCTCAGGCCTCCAGACCTTTTGCTGGGAGCACAGGGATGTATGTGCCTTGCTCATCCGTATCCCGGAGGCTCCATCTGTTCCTTGGCATCTGGGATGGGCTCAGCACGTTTGTTGACTAAAGTGAACGACCGGAAGCTATTCCTTCTGCCTGGAACGTTCTCCCCACTCTTGTCAGTCTGGCAGATTTCCCCTTGCCCTTGCAGCCCCAGCTCCAATCCCTCCCACTGTGCACAACCTTTCTGAGTCCTCTGGGCCAACTCGGGGTGTTTGCCTGTGCTGCTTTGAACCTCTGTATTCCAGAACCTCACACGGCATAAACGTAGGGTGGACCCTCAACGTATGCTTATTGAGTGAACAAGTCAATGTCCAGCCACATCTGTCCTGCTCTCCCACCTGCTCCACATCTCCACTCCCTTCCCCTTTGCTCATGTTCGTCTCCACACCCAGAAACCCCCCTTCCCTCATTATCCATGCAAACCCTGCTCGTCCTGAGCACCGGCTCTCTCCTAGTTCCTCCAGACAAATGGGATTCCTCCCTGCTCAGTCCCAGAGAACTTTCTGGTTTGTCCCTCCATGGGCCTTGCTTGACTGCCTTGTAGTAGAATCGATATAAACTCACTCTACCCCACCTGCAGGTCCTCTGTGGGGCCATCTCTGACAGCCAGACAAGGTTGCAAGGGACGGAGTCAGGCTCGGGATCCCCTGAGTAGTGGGGGCCTTTGGGAAGCATGTAAATGAGTGAAGACTAACCTCTCAGCCGCCACCCAGCCAGGCCTCCTCGAGCTCTGGGACACCCTTTGGGGTCCTGGGCATTGTTCCTGCCCCCGTGGTCTGCCTTCTTGGCAACTCAGCGGCTCCTGGCTACTCACGACATCCTGGTTCCTGCTTGCCCTTTCCTCCCTCTGACCGTATTTATAGCCACATGCCAGGTACTGTTCTAGAAGCTCAGAGTACATCAACGACTACAAAAGAACAAAAGTTCCCGCTCTCAACAGAGCCTACAGGTGAGTCTGCCGCATTATATCCGCTTGCTCGTGATTTCTGCTCATCCAAGCCTTCTGCATATTGCCCTTCTTATGGCAGGTTTTGGATTTGGCCTCCATCACCAACTACTTTCCCCTAGAGAGAGGATGTCCTCACTTTGGTTGCTCTGAGAGAATGCATGCCAGGCCCCTTAGTGGGCCACGGGCCACTCAGTAGACCAGCTCTTAAGTGAGGACACCGTCTCTGGTCCGGTCAGCTCTGGCCAGCTTTGTCCACAGCAGGTCGTGTGGGCATGGAAGGTGCTCGGCGTCCAGCACACCCTCCGGTCCCTTCTCGGTGCTTCCGGGCCTGTGTGTGTAGTCGGGGGAATGGGCACGGTCCTCCCTCCAGCTGCACCCAGGGCTGGAGTGCGGGGTGTATGTGCCCAGCTGAACCACCCGCCAACAGACCTCTCCTGTGGTTTCTTTAGAGAGCAAATGAGTATCTTCTCCCGGAGTCTGTGGATCTGGAGTGCGTGAAATACTGTGTGGTGTATGATAACAACACCAGCACCCTGGAGATTGCCTTAAGAGGGGAGGACGAGGAGGACAACACCGAAGATGGTAGACACGGTAGGTTTTGAGGAGTGCAGCCGGAGCAGCAGCTGGTGGTGATGGAGCCCTTTCGCGGTACGCCGGGAACCACACAGAAGGCTCTCCGTGGGTCAGCTCCTGCAGAACACGCCCCTGAGAAATGGGTTATGCCAAGAGCGGGGGAGGGGCTGAGGGGTTTCCTTCCTTGCAAAATGCCAGGTGAGCCTGCCATAGCCTCATGAGTGCTGGCAGAGGACGTGAGGCTCCCGGGTCAGAGCAGTGAAAGTAACCGGAATGTCCTCCTCTCCTTGCCCTGGCACCCGAGCCCCCATTCTCACAGGGTGACAGGAATAGGGACAAGAAAAACCTACCCACACCGTGGGTTGTATTACAGGAGAACCCTGAGCTCGGGACCGAATCTTTTTTTTTCTTTTCTTTTTTTATAAACGACTTTATTTGAGAGAGAGTGTGAGCACAAGCAGGGAGAGGGGCAGAGGGACAAGCAGACTTCCTGCTGAGTGCGGAGCCCGATGCGATGCGGGGCTCGATCCCAAGACCCCAAGATCATGACCTGAGCCGAAGGCAGATGCTTAGCCGACTGAGCCACCCAGGTGCTCCCAGGGCCTGAATGTTTTATAACAGGCAGAAAGGCTGCCCGCCCCTAGCTCTAGAGGGAGAAACGATCTATCTTCCGAGGCTGTTTGATATACAGATACTCTCGAAAAGCCAGTACCTTTGCTCACAGGACACATAGAAACCTGAGAGGCCATGGAGAATGGTCTCTAATAGGTAACGTCCCCATTTTATAGATGCGGAGATTGAGGCCCAGAAAGGTGCATGCAGTAACTCACTCAAGGTCCCATACGTGTTGAGTTAGTTATTTATTGCCATGTAATGATTGCCCCTAAACTCAGTAGCCTAATACAGCAAATATTAATTAACTGGTACCAGGTTCTGGTATGGCGTGTCTGCTGAGATTGCAGTCGAGGTGCTGGCTAGGGTCCCTGTCATTTGAAGGTC